AAAACAGAAAAAGAAGAAAAACGACATACTAGCTTTAAAGACAGGGTTTCCAGGAGTTCCGTTTGGAACCAGAAATCTGATAGTAAAGGAAAATGACCACTTTGTCACTGGAGTCTATGTTTTCATCCCCTGTACAGAAGATAAAAAGAATATAACTCCCACTCAGAACAGGAGGAATGGAAACAGGAGGAACTATTTTAACAACTAACAAGGTTCACACTATGTTCATCTTCCTGACCAAAACATAATGGCCTAAGCAATGAAGGCGCTTAAGAAAGTTTTCAGAATTTAATCACTTGCCAATTATTTGTACTAGAAATGAAAAGTGATCCTCTTACTTGAGGAAAGGGCCATAAGCATCACTTCTTTACAATCCAGGTTAGGAGAAACTGAAAGAATTCAAAATGTCCAGTACAGAACAGGAAGAAAGACAGCTAAAGAAGATGAGGAAGCAGGGAGGATTCAAAAGCAGTATTAAGAGGCTGGAAAGAAAGAAGACTTCCCTTGTTGCCAATTTCATCTCAGCAGTTAGAAGAAGCAACAAGAGAACAACTTTGAGCCTAATTCCAAGTAAAAAGGAATTGTTCCCATTTCCATGCTGCATTAAGACTTATAATTATCCTTATATTATTCCATGAAGTAGGCGGTTCAAGTATTATAATGATCATCTCCATTTTATACACCACAAAACTGAAATGTTTGGTGAAGTGGACTAATAACCAACATTTATATAGTGCTTTAAAGGTTGCAAAGAACTTTTCATATATTATTTCATTTGAATTTCACTTCATCAAAAAAGAAAGAAAAGAAAAACAACTACTGTGAGGGAGGCATTATTGTCCTTATTTTACAGATAAGAAAACTGAGACTCAGGGAGTGACCATGTCCATGGTCACAAAGAGTCAGAAATCACAAATATTCCAATTAGCTAGAGTGATAGACTAAAATTAACATAATTAAATTTAGTGGGGATAAGTTTAGATTTTAGAAATCAAATGTACAAGTAAAAGGATGGGAGAGTCATGACTTAACATTAAGTCACGTTGAAAAAGACAAGTATTTTACTTGATAGCAAATTCAACATGACTCAACATTATAAACCAGCTATTAAAAAAGCTAACACAAAGTTGGACTGCATTAATAAAAATAGCATCTATAAGAAGGGAGAAAACAGTCCCAACTCTACTCTCCACTGATCAGACTATATCTGGAATATTGCTAACTTATATTGGGTGCCTGTCATAAGACACTAAGACAAAATGGAATGTTACCAGAGAAAAATGACAAGGATCATACAGGGTTTAGAAACCCCTTCTGATCTAAGCCTCAATAATTTAACAATTGTAGCTTATAAAAAAATTAAATGAGCTGTATTTATAAAGTATTAAGTTCCCTCTGAACCTAAAGGATGACTAGAAATGATGTGAAGTGAGGATAATAGTTTGCACTGGATGGGAGGACTAGATGACCCTATAAAATGTCTTCCAACTCTAAAATTCCATAAAATAGGCTGTTCAATTAGGGAATCTAATATAAAGTTATTCATACATCAAGCTCTCAAAATTTAGATGCTTCATAGTAAATTGTACAATGATAGAGGCTGATGGCAGCCATTTGAGAAAATTAAAAAAAAAAATCATTCAAGATGACATTTGCTCTAGTTACTTTGAAAGAGACTTTCCCCCCTTTTAACAGGCATCCTGTGTTTTGCTCTGAGCCCTTCAGTAATTCCATATTGCTTATAAGACAAAACACAGATTCCTTAGCCTACTCCTCCACAAACTGGCATCAACCTTATCACCTAAACAATGACCTTAAGTCCCACTATTACTATTCACACACTATGTTCTACGCCAAATAGAATATAAATTATTCAATAAGCATTTATTTAGGGCCTGCTGTGCACTGGACACTGTGCTGGGAACTAGGATATAGAAAGATAAAAATGAAATGGTCCCTCTGCCTTTAAGTAGCTTACATTCTACCAGAAGAAATATGCGTATATATAAGTACACATAAAAATATACAAAAGAAATACAAGATCATGCCAAATCATAAAGAAGGTCAAATGAGCTGAGTTCTGAAGGAAATAAAGAATTCTGATAAGTGTTGAGAAGAGATTTCAAATATGGAGGCCAACCAGCACAAAGGCATGGAGATTAAGAGATAGGAATACTATGTATAAAGAACAGTAAGAAGGCCAGTTCGTCTGGACTTCAGAGTATGGGAAGATATGAAGAAAGTAATATATAAGAAGACTGGAAAGGTAATTTGGGGTCAGGGTATGAAGGGCTTTGCAGAGTCAAAATAGAACAATGTATATTTGTTCCTAAGAGCAAGAGAGAACCAGGGGAGGTTACTGAACAGGGGAATGACATGGTCAGATCTGTGCTTTGGGGGGAAAAAAATCACTTCAGCACTTGTATACAGGATGGACTAGAAAAGTATCAGTCTGTCAGTACAGCTCAGGAAGAGATGAGATCTGGATACATATACCCACGAATCATCTGCCTATGGATGAAAATTAAACCTATGAGAGCTGATGAAGTCACCAAATTACAGAGTATAGAGAGAAAAGAGAAAAGGTCTGAGGACAAATGTTAGGGTTTACAAACTGTAAGAAGTTGTAATATGGATAATGAACCAGCAAAAGAGACTGAGAAGAAAGGTAGGAAAAGAGTCAGAGAGAGAAATGCCAGGAAAACCCAAAGAAAAGAGAGTATCCAGGAAGAGAAAGTAGTCAACTGTGCATCAAATGCTGCAGAAAATTCAAGAAGAATACGGACTGAAAAAAGACATCACATTTGGCAATTAAGAGGATAACCACTAACTTTAGAGACACCAGTGATGAGACTGAAAGTCAGATGACAGAACTGAGAAATGAAAAGAGAAGTACGGCAGGCAATAGGTGAAGATGGATTTTTTAGGAGTTTGCTTGTGAGGGGAAGAACATATAGGAAAAATAGCTTAAGGTGATGGTAGGGTCTAGTAGGGATTTAAATATGAGGGAAACCTAGGTATATTTATAAGGAAGGAAATAAGAGACAAAGGTGGTTTGAAAATCAAAGATTAAGAAGAGATGATTATGGAGGCAATATGCTGAAAAAGATGGGAGGGGAAGGGATCAAGGGTGCATGTAGAAAAATCGACCTTGGCAAAGAAAAGGGCCACCTATCAGGAGTGACCTTTATCAGAGATAGGAGCCAAGGAATCAAGAATGTGGGGATACTGTCAAGTAGTATTAAGATATAGTCAAGGGGAGAAGAGGGAACTCACAGTTAATACTCTCTACTTTCTCCTTACAGTATGAAGCAAAGTCCTATGCTGACAGCATAGTAGGAGGGATAAGTATGGGATTCTTGAGAAAAGAGAAGATCCATAACATCTTCTGTAGAGAGTGGGAAATAGAAGGGAGTGCATTAGGAAGTATAAACAGATGGCCTTACTGAAAGGAGATCCAAATGAGATTAGATAACATATTTGTAGTAGATGCACTTAGCTCAGTTTAATTAAGTCCATTTGTTTCTTGAACCTAACACTAAATCTCCTATTGCCACATTTGCTAAAGTCATTCCCATTCCTAAAATACACATCCTTTGCAACTCCACTCCTGTTTTCTCCAAGGTGCCACTTGTTCTGGAAAGGACTGGTCGTCAGATTAATTTGTATATATTTATCTGTGTGCCTAGTATGTTCTCTCCTACACCAAACTTCCAAATCCCAAAAGTATATAAGCTCCTTGAAGTAAGGGCTATTTTCCCCCCTTTCCCACAGTATCTAGTAAAGTGACTTGAATATGACAGGCACTTAATAAATGTTTAAATTATACAACTCAACTGATCTTGATGAACTGATGAATGTGCACCAATAGGGAAAAGCACGAATTGATTAACAAGGATCTTTCTATACCAGATGGTACTACATGAACACTCTCTATCTCATTCATTACTTTTGATAATAAACATTTACTCATCAACTGAAAAAGTTTGAGCGCACTTGGCTAGCTAATACTGATGTACATACATTAAATACAGTAAAATCATATTCACAGTACCCTCCAAAAGCCAAAAGAATGGTTTATGAGGAGACTACCTTTCAACAGTCTTGGGCAAAAGCAAGCACCAACTATTAAAAAAAAAATCACATAAATTATAATTGTAAGCATATGTACTTACAAACAAACCTACCAATTTAACAAAATTAACTAAAGCACAAGAAATCCAAAGAAAAGGCTGCAAATGAAGAGGGTAGGTAGTTTGTTAGAGAGGGAGAAGTGTATAAGCAAAAAAACCGAGATAATATAGTAAACTATTACATTACAGAATTTCTACATGCCAAATGTAGCAGCAGCAGCAGTAGTAGTAGTAATAGTTAAAGCTAGCATTTATACAGTGCTTCAAATTTTGCAAAGCATTTTATGTATGTTATTTCACTTAATGTAGGGCACAATTACCAATATTTCCCAATGAACAAAAGCTTTTTCACATAAAAGAATACATTTAAATTCTGGTTGCTTTTTCCTAACAAAAGTATATACTCCATGTGGTAAATCACTGTTCGTTGATAATGCAATCTGAATTTCTTTTACCGGATACAGTGTAATTGTTTCAGTTTAGATCTCGAGGATAGAAACAATGAAAACTCCACTTGTTTTCCTTTTTTGAAGTTTTTACTAATAATGAGCAACAATAACAGGAAGAATAGGAGTGATCAATATGTACTTCTTATTTTTTTAAATAAACTTATTTATTTTTAGTTTTCAACATTCACTTTGAGTTCCAAATTTTCTCCCCATCTCTCCCTTCCCCCTACCCCAAGATGGTGTGTAATTCCATTCCCCCCCACCCCAAGATGGTGTGCAAACTACCTATTTTCACATTAGTCGTGTTGTAAAGAAGAATTAGAACCAATAGGAGAAACCACGAAATACGTGCTTTTTAAAAATATGTAACTGAATCATTTAATATAATAATTAATCTGACAAAATGAACAGTACTTACCAAGTCTCTGTGAAGCACCCAGTTTGCATGGAGGTAATGGATTCCATCAAGAATCTGGTAAAGCAGTGATTTAACCATTGATCTTGGCAACTGCATCGGTTTTTTATTTGCTTTTGAGGCCCGGTGAAACTTAATAATGTGCTAGAAATTTTGTAAAAGTTGTTTTAATTATATACAAACTTGGCAAAACAAAAATTTCCATACACCTCCACCCCCCCACTCATATATATAAGAACAATGTTATAATTCCTCAGTTTCTAAATTCTTGATCACTCAAGACTAGTAAGTATTGAAATGAAATTCAATTATTAAGACAAATTAAAACTCAATATGTATTGTGAATAAACACAGGCAATTAAGGATTTCTTTTAAAACAGGAAAAAAAGTTGGTAAATCTTACTGTGGATATTAAGAAAGAATTTAAACTAGAAGAGATACCAAGAAAAAAAAAAACACTCAAAGAAGATTTTATATTTTATTATAAGATGATCAATCCAAAGCATCATTTTCAGCTATGAGGCAAGATACACAGTAATGATCCAAATACAGGCTGCTTCCATTCAAAGTCTATACTCTTAAAATAATATAGCTTTGGTGAATTTTTCCCTAACAGAGAAATCTAGCTTCTCTCTACTCTGTTACTATGGAAATAAAAACTCCCAGTTAACAAAAACAAAATCCTGCTTTTGTAGCATCAATTAACAACAACAGCAAAACTTTGCCTTACAATAAAATATATATTGCAGAGTTGGTAGCCTTCAGCATATTATAATTTATATTCCTTTGCCACATAATTAATCACTCATGCCCAGTGGCTCATATTATAGTCAGTCACTGACAGTCAGGCAGTTATGAAAGTAAATCCCACTGAGATGAGCACATAAGGGACCAGAGTACTGAACTATAATTCTAAGACATTGAATTTAATATTTGTAATTCCCCTACCTCTTAGCAAGTTTTTTGTTTTGGTTTGAATCCCGCCTCTGACATTTACCAACAATGTGGCCATGTGTAAGACACAACCATCTTAACTTCTATATGAAAATATATCTAATATGACCCCATAGTTTTGTGAGGACCAAATGAGATAATGAATGCAAAGTGTTTTGTAAAGCTCAAAAAGTGATAAATTTATGTTAGCTCTTTTATTATTACTTTATTCTTGTCTCACTTTTAAGTCTTATAGCTGAAAATGTTGCTAATAGGCCTCTTCTATTCAAATATCATCTTTTCCTATTCAAATATTTGAGTCTCAAATTGGATTGTAGATAAATTTGGCAAAACAAAAAACAAACAAAAAAACACCTATCATCTTATCTCATAACTGATATGACACTGGACCACTATATTTATAGAATTAAAAGTTTTAGAGGTAAGAGAAACTTTAAGATTAAATTTTTCTGTCCATATGTTATCTTTCTTAAATATGTACTAAAGTACAAACAAAAATGTATAAAGTCAAAAGCTCTGTTTAAGGAGCACTTAAGGATGGTAGGTGATAAATAAAATCACCTATAATAAAATCCACAAATTATGCTAGAAAATATTAAGAGGTAAAACATATTCCTTAAAGAAAGTCCTAGTGATTTACTGTAACAGCAGAAAACATTAATTTAATTGATAATATTAGAAAATTATAGTTTATTCTATAGACCTAGACAAAAACCCACACAAATATCTACCATAAGTAATAGAAATTTGCAAGTCTCAGAAACTTTGCTAGGGATGGAGAAGCTGAATGGATTTACTTTTAAATGAAATGTGAAATAAAAGCAAATAACATCAATAAAACTTTAAAATATAGTATAGATTTGTAAAAAAATTTTAATATCACTGTCATTTTATATATCATTGTCATCATTATATATCATTATATGTCATTTCTATAACATTTCATATATATTTTATATGTTATAAATATATATTTATATATAGCAGGATAACAAAAAACCTTATATCACTCCATTTATATTATAATTCAGTCTTGTCATTACACTTAACAATTAATTAGATTATTAGATCCTTAAGTGTGCTAGAACTATTTTTGCCTTTCTTTGTATTCCAAGTGCTTACCACAAGGCCTGACACATGGCAGGGACCTAATAAATGCTTCCTGACTGACTTGTCACCAGATCTCAATATTTCCAACATTTAATATCTCCACTTATCACCTCTTTTTTTTTTTAAAAAAAAGATCCAATATTCTAGAGTAGTTGAAAAAGTCTGGACAACAAGTAGAACTTTTGGCTTCTTCTGTATAACATACTAAATCAAACATATAAAATAACATATTAAATCAAACATCAATTCATAACAGAGAAACTTCTATAAATAGAAACAAACTTGTAAATAAAATGCCAAGATGTGATATTTGCTAAACTTTAACTTGGAAAATGAACTATATATAAATAAGGATAGGGACTAGCCCTGTGATCAGTATAGAGAAATTTCAGATGAGGAAATTTTCTCCATCAAAGTAAGTTAGCACACTCTCAGCAACTTTTAGTATTAAAATAATTGCCTGGGGGAAATTAAGAAGTTAAGTAATTTACTCAACACCAAATGCAGAACACTAGTTAAATCTTAACTACAGTATGTACCACAAAGTAAACATGAATTTCAATTTTTTATCATTAAGTTTATTAATTATCAAACATAAAAAACATGTCAACTCCATTTCTTAGACAGTAATGTACAGTATTACATAAACAAAATAAGGTAATATCCATTTTTATTAAATAAATTATAATCAATATTATACAAATATATATGTACATATATGCATGTGTGTATAAAATATATACATAAAATTTTAACACTTAACTCAACAACAATAAACACACAGACTGGATTTCTGATTCTCTAGATCAACCTACCTCTACCACATACACAAAGAAAATAATCCTACAAGGAAAAAAGCCTAAATATGATCAAGAAATTTGAACTTACCCATAAATCATGTTCTGCATAATCAAATAGCAGCCAAACTTTTCTATCACTGTGAGAAAGGAACACCTTTTGTAACGCGATCACATTAGGGTGCTTCAATTCCCGTAAAAGCTGAAAAAAAAGTAGTAACAGATGACTATCTCCATTGACCAAGGGGAAAGAACCATTTCTTAAGATTATATTTATTTTTATTTATTATATATATGACAAACTATCATCTAAGAAAAATGAGATAATCCATTTATTTCATGTTTCATGAAATATTCTCATTCTATAATTTGAATTCATAAAAATTGTTAGATTATAAAGCATGAATGTTCATCAGTCAGCTTTTTTCCAAAATATCTGGACACTCTCTTCCCCTCTTTTCCACCTCTCCCCCTCCTTTCTTTCATTCTCTCTCATACACAATCCCTGATTCCTGGCCCATTGCTCTATCTGCTCTGTCACCTAACACAGACTAGTTAAATCTTCCACAAAGCTAAGCTTTTAAGCACAGAGCTCTCCTTTAATGAGGACATCTAACATTATGAGAGAGTTAATAACGGGAGATGATAAAAACAAAAGTTTCTAAAGATTTTACAGAAAGAACTCAAAAACCTACCACCACTAACATATGTGTCACACCAAAAAGAAACATTAGTGGAACCTGTAGTCTTTCCCACAATGAGTAAGAGTACGCAGAAGTCTCTGATTGTGGCTACAATTCCAAAAAGGTTTTTGCTGAAGGCAGCTGTCCCAATTTGCTTCATCAGATGCTCATTTGATACATTCAGGGGAAAAAAGTACATCGTCTTTTCCTATTCAACATAAACCTACTGTGTAACACAATTTATTTCATCCAATATCTTAAGTATCCATTATCACATCAGCATGAATGCCACTTCCATTGATACAGATTACACCCACGCTACATCTTAAACAGATATAAGGTGTTATGGAAGAAAAAACTGTTGTTGTTGTTGTTGTTTGTCCTTCGTTTTTGAAGAGGACCAATGACAACACGGGTGATGTCTTGACTTGTACGTGAATTGGATTTAAATGAAGCAGAGTTGCATGAAGTCATCAGCCTTACACTCTATTCCAAAGTTATCAAAGTTCAGTGGCAAGACAAAAGTCAGGACAACTGGTGATGGTCCAGGATATAGTGCATTACCTTGGCACCTTCAATATCTGACCAAGTTCTAAAAGCTCCAAAGCACCTGCTTCAGACACCTTTACAGTCATTGGAACAAACTGTTCTCATCTATCCATTGCACTGAGGGAAGTCTTCACATTCTTCGGGGCAGATATCCCCCTAAGCTGTTGATAGCTAATCACTTCAATTCTGCTAGCCACAGGCCACATTTTGCCTTCTTTCCTATTATAAACATTTCTTGTCATAGAATTTGAAATGCATTATATACAATTACATAATATACTTGTCCTAAACTTTTATAGATCTGGTTATAAATGCCATTTATATTTTGCATCATTTGAGAACTTCAATTAATATTGTCAACATTTATACAACTCTTTAAGATCTATAAAGCATTTTAAATACATTCTTAGGAAAGCCTCATAACAATCCTGTGAGAAAGGTCCTAGAGATTTTATTATACCTATTTTATAGGAAAATTAGGCAGAAAAATTAGCCTGTTATGGGCTTTGCTCATGGTCATCCAAGGCTACTAAGTATTAGAAAGGTACAAAACAAGGTCTTCCTGAATCCAAATCTAGAATTTTATCCACTATGTTATACTATCCCTCTAGGGTAGACAATTATATCATTTTAGCACAATGAGATGAAGACAGATGGCATGGTTATCACATATGTGAATTATACAAAGCTTTGAATGATTGCTGTTTAAGATAAATAGTCTAAATAAAATTCAAAAAGATCTTTGGTGTAGTAGATAGAATGCTGGATTTGGAGTGAGCAATACCTGAGTTCAAATTCTGCCTCAGTCACTTCCCACCTTTGTAACCTTGGGCAAATTACTTAACCTCCCTCAGCCTCAGTTTCCTCATCTGTAAAATGAGGTCAATAAAGCACCTATCTCCCAAAATTATTGTAAGGATCAAATGAGATAGTATAAGTAAAGTGCTTTGTGAACTTTAAAGCACTACATGAATGCCAGATGATGTTATTTTGAAAGATGGACTGAATCTAAGAAGAAGACATTGAATAAGGAAAATACAAAGCCCTCCACTCAGGTGCAAAAAATCAATTATATGAGAACAAGGCAGGGGAGAAGTGACTAGACAGAAGTTTATGTAGAAAAACATGGTGTTAGGGGCAGCTAGGTGGCACAGTGGATAGAGCATTGGCCCTGGATTCAGGAGGACCTGAGTTCAAATTCAGCCTCAGACACATAACACTTACCAGCTGTGTGACCCTGGGAAACTCACTTAACCCCATTGCCTAGCCCCCCCCCCCCAAAAAAAAGAAAGAAAGAAAAAGAAAAACATGGTCTTTAGCGGTCTTTTACTCTGCAGTCATCTTCTCTCTCCAGCCACCTTTCCACCAGGATTAGAGACCATGTACTGGTGTTCTTAATTGCCAGCTGCCTTGCATGTTCCCTCTAAGCCTCAATCCTGCTCCCTTCTATTTCTAGACCTAAAATCCAAAATATTTGCTACTACAACTGGAAAAGATGTGTTAAATCACTTCCCTATAGTTCCACTCATCATTCTTGTAAATAGTGTGACATTGAAGGAAAAAATAGTCATATAATCCTAGACAAAATTCATAGAAGTACAGTGTCCAGGGCATGCGAATTAAGGTTTCACAATTCTTTCCCCTGGTCAGACAGCAACTGGAACACTGTATTCAGGTCTGGATATCACTATTTTAGGAAGGGCACCAATATGCTAGAGAGTACCCAGATGAAGGCAACCAGATGAAAAAGGCCTTGGGATCATGTCAGCAAGACAACTAGGTGGTACATTAGACAGAATGATAGACTTGAAGGCAGTAAGACCAGAGTTCAAATTCTGCTTTGCAACTTTGCTGGCTGTGTAATTCCCCAGGGCAATTCCTTTAACCTCACCCCCACTTTTCTCATGTGTAAAATGGGATAATAATAGCACCTATTTCATACAAGGTTGTTGTGAGGATAAAATGAGGCAACTTACATAAAGCAGTCTGCAAAAGTTAAAATGAGGCAACTTACATAAAGCAGTCAGTAAAAGTTAAAGTGTTATATAAATGCCAGGACTGATGATGATGATGATGATGATGATGATGCTTGCTGCTGTCATATGAGGACTGGTTGAAGAACCAGATATATTTATTCAGAAGGAGAATAGACTTGAAGGGACTATAAGAGGCTATAAGAGCTATCTTCAAATATGTGAAGAAATGCCTGTGTGAGAGGAATTAAACTTTGTCTGCTTGGTTCAATATCTGAGGTTGGAAAAAGCAGATTAGACATGATATAAAGAAAAAAACCCCATCACCTTATTTAATTGTTGTTAATTGGTAAACGAATGAGTGAATGCATACAAAATCATCTGTTAAATGCTTGCTTTGGGCCAAGCATTGTATTGAGCTCTGGGTAAACAAATATAAAAAGAAAGACCACCCATGAAATAAAAATAAGAGAGACCTGGGGAAAAAGAAGCCTCACTACCTAATCAAGAGCATGTTACCATTTCTTCCTAAGTGTTGGATGATATAAGTGATAGGAGTGAGTTTATTACATATCTCACAAAGAGTAATGTGTATGGTATCAAATCCTAGGTATGCTGTAGGAAAGTTGAAGAAAGTGAGAGGGTGCAGATGAATAGAGGCAAAGTGAAATGAGTAAAGAAGTTCTACTCACAGAATTCAAAGTTTTCAGAAAGAACTGAACAAACAAGCAGCACTTAATTGACTATTTTAAAAATCCCTTATAGAGTACTCCATTTTACCGCAAACTCAGTTATGGTGTATTATATATTTAATCACAAATGGTGACTTTCTGGGCTGCAGGCCAAATCTAGTCCTAAGTTTTATTTCATTTGACATGTGACACAATTACTAAGTAAGTATCTGCTAGCCACTCTTCTTCCCACCACTAAATTCCCTGGAAAAGACATAGGCCTCAGGACCCAAACTGGATATATGCCCTCAGTCATTTACTCAGTGTTCCTGGCAAGTCTTTTTGGTGGCATTAGAAGGGGTAAGGAGGATTAACTGTGTTGATGTTAAGAAAAGTAAGAGGCTTAGGAAGTTGTTGGCAAGACGCTGTATGATATAGGAGAAAGAACACAAGCTTTCAGGAAATCAGGAAACCTAGGTCCTAGACCTGGCTGCTAATAACTTTGTCCTAAGTCACACACTCTAAGTCCTGGTTTGTGTGAGCCTTAGTATCTATGAAGTGATGTTAAGAACACCTACCCAAACCTATACCATAAGGTTCTTTTGAGGCTAAAATGAGATTTCATATATTATACATACAAAAGCACTTTTTCTTGGTATGCAATGCTATATAAAATAATAATTATGTAATATAATTATAAACTTCCTAGTGACATCTCCTGTACAGTTTTTTAGCTGTATAATTATTTCGTTTTTCTGGTATATTTTGTCTCTACAACTACATTATTAACTCTGCCCTGGGCTTTCTTCTCTCTATATATTCTCAATGATCACATGAGCTCTCGTGCATTTAACTATTTTCTCTATGCAGATGACTCCTTAATCTACATATCTAACCATGGTATCTCTTCTGAATTTCAGTCCCCATACCACCAATTGTTTGTGGGATAGGTCTACCTGTGTATCTCAGATACCTCAAACTTGACATGACAAATATAGAAGTTGATGTCTTTCTTCCCAAAATCACCCTGTCCCCATCACCTTATTTAGTTGTTGTTAATTGGTAAATGAATGAGTGAATGCATACAAAATCATCTGTTAAATGCTTGCTTTGGGCCAAGCATTGTATTGAGCTCTGGGTATACAAATATAAAAAGAAAGACCACCCATGAAATAAAAATAAGAGAGACCTGGGAAAAAAGAAGCCTCACTACCTAATCAAGAGCATGTTGCCATTTCTAGCCCTGTCCCCATTTCTTTCTAGGGAACCATCATCCTTCAGTCACTCAGGTTTAGAAATTGAGAGTTAAAGTCATTCTTGACTCTT